GGCAGGTGCACGCCAGGGCAAGGGGGGGCCAGCCCTGCTAGGGGCTTATTTGCTGCTCCTCAACCAACGCATCTGCTTTTGTCTTCCAGTGTCAGCCAGAGAAGGAGACGCCTACCCCCTGGGTGCTCTGCCTGTTGGCACACTGATCTGCAACCTGGAGAGCCATCCTGGGAAGGGAGCGCAGTACATCCGGGCAGCTGGTGCGTCTCTGGGCAGGGCTAGCCCATCTTGGCTTAGGGCAGATGGAGAGGATGGCAAGGGGGCACTGCTCTGCCTGGCTGGTGACAACGAGTTGCTGTCCTCTCTCCCCTGTGTGTTACAGTGCAAAAAAAGCCCTCCTGAGAGGCAGGGGCAGCTCTGCCCTGTTGCTGGCTGGTGGTGCCTGGACAGCCTGTCTTCAGCAAGAAGTGCTCTCTAGCAACAGCAGGGGCTTTGGGGAGTTCCCAGCACGGGGATGTGCTCACCACAGGGTGGGATACTTTGTCTTGTTGCTTGGGGCAGCTGCCTACTCTCCTCTTCCCTGCTGCAGGGACTTGTGGGGTGCTGCTGAGGAAAGTGAATGGGACCGCCATCGTGCAGCTGCCTTCCAAGAGGCACATGCAGGTATAAGAGCCGTGCTGTCCCTGACCTGACTGCCTGGGCACAAAGATGTGTGTCCCCAGGAAGGCGTGCTGCTCTTCCCTGTACCCTAGGTGCTGGAGACCTGCGTGGCCACAGTGGGCCGTGTGTCCAATGTCGACCACAACAAGCGAGTGATTGGGAAGGCGGGACGGAACCGCTGGCTGGGCAAGCGCCCGCACACAGGCTTATGGCATCGCAAGAGTGGCTGGGCTGGGCGCAAGATCAAACCTCTCCCGCCCATGAAGAGTTACGTCAACCTGCCACGGGTTGTGGCATAGGAGTGATGCCGGTGGCCAATAAAGCATTCTCAACACCACTGCTGTTGCCTTACTGCTGCCTTTTCTGCACAGGGCCTCAGGGGGGTGCTTTCCCCATGGGACGTGTTCACCCCCTGCCAGGAGATGAATGTGAGGCTGTGGCCTGCCTTAGCTTGAGCTTGGAGTGGTGATGGGGTCTCGGTGGGGTCAGAGCTCTGCACAATCCTGCCAAACCTGG